TGGAACAGACAAATGGAATAAATTCCCAATTATTGTGCACATTTAAAAAAAATCCCGAGACACGTAGATTGTGGATTCTGAAATGACATCTTGCAACGTAAAAATTTCATCCCAAATTCAATCAACCCTAAGTCCAGTGGCAGTTGCAACCCCTAAATTTTTAAATGAGAAATAGGAGCTTATGATACCTAATTTGAAAGGTATATTCATTGCCTATTCAAACATCCTATGGTTATAATATTTATTGCAAAAAGTAATGATCTGCTTAACGAAATTTGTTACAACAAACAAAAATATAAAAACAGCGTTTTTTCTTGCAGGCTAGGAAAAACAATTTAAGTGTTTTTTTAACATTTTCAACTAAAAAGAAGATATAAAAATTTATTTTTTTACTGCTAATTTTTGCAATAAATATTAAAACCATAGCATTTTTGAATAGAGAATGAAAATACCTTTCAAATGAGGTATCCCAAGCCCTTACTTTTCATTTAAAAATTTAGGGGTTGTAACTGCCATTCGAAGGGGGTTGAATTTAGGGATGAAATTTTGACGTTGCAGGATGTCATTTCAGAATCCAAAATTGACGTGTCTCGGGATTTTTTATAAATATGCACAATAATTGAGATAGATACTGGATTTATTCCATTTGGATGTTCCACACTGTACAGGGAAATTCATGCAACAAAATTGGGTCACAGATTTTTAAGACAAATTTAGGGGACCCGTATTTTTTATTTTTGCCAAGTGGCCCCCTCTTTCGGAGTTACAGCCCCCTGAAATCCGCCCCCAAAAAAAATCTTTTTATGATGCACAAAGTACATTAATACAATGACAATTAATAAATTTAATCATTAGCATTGTACTAATCAATGTGGTCGTTAATGGGATATTTTCAATTTCATTAATTTCAATGATTTTATGTGATGAAATAGACGACCGATCGCGAGACTTCGCTATATATAATGCACTAAACATCAAGTAGAAGCCTCAGATGAAAATTAATGTTCATGACAGTCTTCCGGCGTCTGTATTGAAACATAGTGCTTCCTTTTTAGCTGAGCCTTTATATTATATATTTAAATTTTCTCTAGATTACGTCATCTCCCCCGTCTGACTGGTTGGTAGATACTTCAATTGCTATATCCAAAAAAGGTGATAAAAGAAATCCCGATAATTAATCAGCCTGCTGCCCATTTACTCCAAGATTCTTAAAATGATTACAGTGTCCCAATTTTGAATTTCTACCTAACTCAAAACCTATTGAAATCGTCATCACGTGGTTTCACTGCTACTAATCTGTTGTAAAATTTAATCGTGGGAATCTTCACGACGTTCTTTATTTAGACAAGCCTTCGATAGTCCCCAGATACCCTCCTTAATTTCTTTAATCTTTTTTCTTTATTTTCCTTCTTCTCATCATGTACGATCTGGTGTACCGCAAGGGTCTGTTTTTGGTGCACTTCCTTTATTGCATTCAGTAGATATTGATTAACTTATATTGATTAACTTATATATAACGGACTATACAGGGTAGCCCATCGAAAACGTACCGCAAGGCATTACAGGGTAGTAATGAATTTTTCGGCAATATCCAAAAACAGGTCAAATTTGTTTCTGAGGGGGACAACTTTTGGCTCAAAAAGCATACCAAAATCTTCAACCCCCTAAGTGGGGGTGCTATCCCCTAAATTTTTTCAAATGGGAATGGGGGTCAAGTGGGGGGTCATTAGAAAGGGCTTTTAATTCTCTATACATCGATTCTTACTTTTTGAAAATCGATTCATTATTTTAGAAAATATGCAGCTTTGAAAATACGAACAATATTTTTGACGAGAAATGCGAAAATCGATTTAATTTTACTTCAAAACTTACGGTATTAGTCAAGTAAATGCTGAAAATGTTGTCCGCCAACTTGCATACAATGATACAGGTTGTCTTCAAACCGTTGTCGAACATTCTGGAGCACTTGCGGTGTTACTTCGCGACATACATTAATGATTCGTCCTCGCAGATCTTCCAAGGTATCAGGTGGAGTGCTGTAAACTTTGCTTTTAATGTGCCCCCAGAGAAAGAAATCTAAAGGATTTAAGTCGGGTGACCGAGGGGGCCACTCAATTGCACCTCTTCGTCCTATCCAGCGTCCTGGAAACGTCTCATTTAGGTAATTGCGCACATTGAGCGAGTAATGTGGAGGAGCTCCGTCTTGCTGGAAAATCAGTTCGTGTTCATTGTAAGCAGGGTCGTCCTCTATGATATTTGTTAGAGCTGGGTCGATGACATTTTGTAGTAAATCCAAGTACATATCGCCTGTCAAATTTCCAGGAAGGAAAAAAGGACCTACAATGGAATTTCCAAAAATACCTGCCCATACATTCAACTTCTGGGGGTGTTGGGAGTGTGTCTCATGGAAAATCCTTGGATTGGTATCAGCCCAGTAACGACAATTATGGCGATTCACTAAACCATTCAAGAAGAACGTACACTCGTCCGAAAAACACACATTAAAGAGGAAATTATCGTTTATCGCTCGTTCAGTCATTATTTCGCAAAATTGCAAACGACGATCAAAATCGTCTTCATTTAGCTCTTGCACTAGCCGAATCTTATAAGGATGGAATTTGTATTTTTTTAATATTCGTTGGACACTTGTACGACTCACTCCTGTCGCAGTAGCCAATTGCATTGTACTCAGCGTACTATCCATTGCCACTTGCCCCAATACCGCTATTTCCGTAGGTTCATTTAGTACCGGATTTTCAACCTGCCTCTTTTTGTTATGAACGGAGCCAGTTTCGCGAAATTTGGCCACCAATTCGCGAACAATTTTTCCAGACGCATGTTTCTCAGGATGCCGTTGGTTGAACAGTTCGGCGACCCGATTTCCGCATTCATTGTTTTTGAAAAAAAGCTCAATAATTTCTACTCTTTCTGGAATTGAGTACACCATAATTAATCAATTTAAAAGACTCGGCAGTATTGGTACTCTTCAACTACAAGTCACAAGACAGTTATCTAGCAACTTCTTGTGGCCTATCTAAATACGAAACAAAAAGCGGACAATTTTTTGCTCACCAAAATCAGGCTAAAGAATTCGCAAATCAAAAAAAAAACAGCGAATTCTTTTGAAGGAATTTACCAAGCTAATACCGTAAGTTTTGAAGTAAAATTAAATCGATTTTCGCATTTCTCGTCAAAAATATTGTTCGTATTTTCAAAGCTGCATATTTTCTAAAATAATGGATCGATTTTCAAAAAGTAAGAATCGATGTATAGAGAATTAAAAGCCCTTTCTAATGACCCCCCACTTGACCCCCATTCCCATTTAAAAAAATTTGGGGGATGGCACCCCCACTTAGGGGGTTGAAGATTTTGCTATGCTTTTTGCGCCAAAAGTTGTCCCCCTCAGAAGCAAACTTTACCTGTTTTTGGATTTTGCCGAAAAGTTCATTACTACCCTGTAATGCCTTGCGGTACGTTTTCGATGGGCTACCCTGTATAAAAATGTATGGGAATTTTTCAGATCAGCATTATATCATCCAAATAATCTTTCAGACATTGATGTTGGTGCATTAGTTGGTTAATTCCATTAAACACAAATACATGTACCGTGCTTCACATGGGTAGCAATCAGTACTAAGAATCTCCACCACTCTTACGCCATTAATGGACCCGAGTCATAGTACTAAAGGGACAGAATGATTTGGATGTGGCAATAACTTCTGGTCTTTACAAAATGACAAAAAAGCTGAAGGGAAATTCTATATAGTATTTAAAGCTATCCCTAATTCATACCTCTTGTTAATTAAATCCACATTAGGTCCGTATGTGGTTTGTGGATATGTAAAACAGATCCACCGGACAAGTATGTGCTTTGAGGAATCAAACTTACCATGAGCGAATTCAATCCCTGAATTTTCCGCCAGTGCCCGGACGTAGAAGTAATGGCGATATTTCAAGTGCTTCATAAGACAGATCTTTCAATCTAATAGAGTGTTTAACCAGTGGAATCAGCTGTCTAACATATTGTAACTTCAGTGAGCTTGATGCTCTTTTAAAAATAAATGCGAATCTTTAAAAGGAACCACCTTATGTAATGTTGGCTAAAGTTGCTCCTGAGCCATCGTAGTAATGTATAAATGTTTTTTATTTTTCAAATGAGTGTTTGAAATACTTACGATAACAAATTTACAATAACAAAAAACAGAAACCCATGCAATTAAATAAATGGATTGAATATAGTTCAGTCAAAGAGAATTGACTTTGAAGGTGTTAGTTTACCTTGGAGCTATCCTAGTACGTACAAATTGATGTGGTGGTGGGTATGGTGTAATAAACAGAGAGCGGACAATTTGTGTCTTTAACCTTGAACACATATGTCATTCATAAACCTAGATACATTATCCATGACGCAGTGGCGTGTCGGGTATGCATCGGAAATTTACGTGATAATTCACGAAAATTCCACGGTACATACATTTTTAGGCGTTATAAAATATTTAGAAAATCAGAAATTGTATACTACATATTTATTAAATAAAGTTCGGTTAAAAATAGTGTCGTTCTTTTAATTGGAAATTAGGAGTCAATATAACGAATACCCTCAAGCGACGCACATGATAGAATAGTCCAACTCACGCTCCATTCATAACAGGGCTGCAGTTTGAATTCTGACCAATAGGAATTCGATAAACGCAACCGATGTCGACGAATTGACTAGAGATGGGCGCGTGTGTCATTTCATTTCTTTAGAACTAAATTAACTTAATTATTTACTCTTTATTTAACCTGTTCACATGATTTATGGATTTTAAATAAAGGGTACAAATCTTCGCGAGGATAATACGATATATTTGCTATACATAATAATTATATTTTGCATGGTTTATACACAATACATTTTTGAACGCGTACACATCTCTACCAAAATTTGACCTATTCTTCGGGTTAAAGACACACATTGTCCGCTCTCTAGTAATAAAACTTTGTTAATGTGGTATTACCTTTCGCACTGCCTTAACGTCCAGCTGGCTATGATCCAGAGAGAGACCATGAACACAAGTAGTACCGTGCCCGGACAGATAGTCATTAAAGTTTTTAAAACGAACCTCGTGTTAAAGTTTATCCTATTGAGCGCACCTATGCTCCGCGACGAAGCGTCCGTGAACAACTTACTATGCAACAACATCACTCTGCAGATTAGGTAAAGCCTGAGGAACATGGGTAGAGACAAGGGCACGTCGTACGGAACACACTTTCTCCCGATCCCGCCGTTTTTGTTGGCGAGCTTTGTCGTCCACACGAAAAGGTAATGTCCCGGGATTGGATGCACTGCACATATTATGAGTTCCATGGAGATTTGGCAGATCCTCTGCCAAGTCATCGCGATGCGCCAGTCGTCGGCGCAGTTGTCTATCATGAACAGCTGAAACAGAAACAGGCACATTACCACGTGTCAGGTATTATTTTACCACAATTAAAGCTGTAAATTTGATTTTTAATGAACGTATCAATAAAATGGAAGCGGCATATTTATTTATAAGTAAGGCTGTCAGAGAGAGCCGAAATTCAAAGGCGTGCCAAGCTGTTTCAGAATGCTTTGTTCACGTTCACGTCACATTAGTATACTATTGCCTTGCTATCGTGCGGATGTTGCGTAATTAATCCGTTGGTGTTTATGGTGGTGTATTGTAGACAATTTAATTTGTTGTTTTTTAATAAATAATGCGTACGCCTATGTCCCGCAGTTCAGTTCTGACAGCCCTGTGTATAAGTAATATTTATACTTTTTTCATCGAAGATATCTTTCATTTGCTGGTAGTTTCATAGGCGTCCCTAAAAAAAATTTCTGCTAAAGGTAAAAAATTATAATAATTTATATGTAGAAAATTTCTATTATGTTCATTTGGCCAACAACATATTTTAATTATTTATGTCCTCAAACAATTTTATTATATTGATGGTAAATTTCGTTTTGTTCCGTTTCAAAAGGTCTTCAAAATGCCATGTTGTGATAATTTTAGTAAACGAAATATCCCTCGTATTTCTCCCTTTCGCAATTGTAATATGAATGATTGATAGAAGGTGCTTATAATAAATTAAAATGACCCGAATCACACCAAATTCCACATTGATGCACTGCACTGCTGGGCAATTTATCAGCAACTTGTCGCCTGCTGTGATTTATTGCCCAGTAGCCCAATACAACTGTAATCGTTTTCCTTTGCCCGCGCTCGCATTCTTCAACTGAGCGTATACATTTCTATCGTCTCCACGTTTAGTTCGACCAGACCTGTATATGGGTATGGCTAAATAAATATGGGAACAAGTTTTTCAAATATTTCAATGCCGAGTTGCTGCGTAGCGACCGAACCTTGTACATACCTTGAAGTTATTTGTTCTTCAATTGACTTCGAAAAAACTATAAAGATAAATTTCTTTTCATAACACGTCTAGAATATTCGGAAACTATGGTAAAAAATGTTTATAAAAAGAAGTCTAACTTTAACTAAATCATAATAAGTTAAATATATGGATTTCAATGTGCAGATCGCTAACCCAGACTTAGCAGCCTAATAAAGTCTTAGAGTTGTTTCAAAATCTTATGAGGTTTGACCTTCATATGCGCAGAAACATAATTCCGACCGTCGCCTAAATTATTCTACGTCCTAAAAACATTACATCTATTATTCACCAGAGTCCATCTCGAGCTCTCGTAGCGTAAACAAGCCTTTGATCCGATTACAAATATCATAATAAAATGTCCTATTCTTTATTATTTTACTTTAAGCATTAAAAATATACTGGGTGATTCAGTTTGATATTCGCTGCCTCGTATCTCTTTTATTTTAACAAATAGCTATAACAAACCCTATATATTTTTAAATCGCCGCTCAGACTCTATCAAATGACATTATCAGATCGTCTCCATGGTAACATGATTGTGTCAAAATTGCTATAGTCAATTGTTTTTGTTCAAATACCACAATATATATTTTTTATCAATTCTGGAAGATATTTTTTTTCTGCGTTCAGCTATATAAGGCAGTCTATAGTTTCATTAGAAATATTGCTAGAAAAAACGGCAAAAAAGATGTAGCCTACTTTCATTAGCTTTATTCTGAAAAATGATAGCCAGCTGCGGAAACAACTGAATTTTAACGTTTCTAAATAACAGTTTGTCAAAATAATTGACATTTTATACCTACCTGTTATATCTATAACTAATAATTATAACATGAATACTTACAGTAACCAAGAAAAACAAGATATGATTTTAATTTATGGAGAAGGCTGAAAGAACGCTAAAGCTGCCAATATCGTTTTCCGCAGAGACAACTTCCATCAGATAAAATTTTCGGAAAGTTAGCCAAGAATTTGGCGGCAGATAGAAGTTTTCAAAAGAGAAGAGTTTTTAAACCTAGAAGGGCAAGAGATGAAGAACATTCGATAAAAATGTTAAATGGCCTGCTAGCTAGATCTCCGGATCTCACACCTATACATTTTTTTCTTTGGCCTTACCTACGCGATATTNAATGCATTCAATTAAATGAAGATTTAGTTGAAAATTCCAGAATTTAATTTAATTCATGTGTGTTAATTTTATTTTATTGTATTTTTTGTAAATTTTATGTTAATTTCTCGTTCATTTTTCTGTCTGTTTCATTGTATTTTGGTATAATGATGTCTATTAAACGTGTTATTAAATATTTGTTGTGATTGATTTATTATCGCATGGGTTACTAGATAAAAAGTTTCTTTATGCATAATAAACAATTTGACAGCAATTTAGCCGCAGAATCGTTAATGTTGAATATTTTTTCATGAAATTTGGTACAGATCCATTTCAGGGGCAGATTTTTTCAAAAAAAAATCGCTAATATGGATTCTGGATTTTTCAGCCTCTGAATGTGATCTAGTAGGCCTTAGTTTAAAAAAGAACTGGACGGCGCTTGGCCCCAAAATACACTTTTCCCCCCTCTACATTTCAAAAAAAATTTCGTAAAAATCCCTCCATAAATAAAAATGTTATGAGGGTGGCCCGCTTTCAAATGGGTCACTCTGTATATATATATATAATGAACGTTCGCTAGTTGACTTTATTGATGCACGACGTCAATGTTTTCACGACGTGCTTATTAGAAGAATTATGCGGATACGCCACGCCTTTCGCGCATTTCGCGGTTCATGAGATTTTGAAACTACTCTAAAACCCGACCTTAAAAGTTCGTAACTTTTTATTTTCTAGAACTAAGCTAGACCACAAGAACTACGCAAGCGCAAAAGTCGGCTACTTCTCCTTTCTGACGTTGCGCATCGCTGACCAGTTATAAACTAATATTTTTATAAACATGTTAAAAATATTACGGTTAAGGTTGATACAAGTTAGGTTAGGACTAAACATATCTTTAGGGAATGATACTTTTTTGACAAATCAATATCAACAGAGTTATGTAACTTAAATTATTTTATTTAATATTTTGCCACATCTAACCTTTTTTCGACCTATTCTATTTTTTCTATTTCTAGTAAATTTTTTTCCGTTTAGGTTTAATTATTACTAAGGCTGTCAGAGAGAGACGCAATTCAATGGCGTTGGTGTTGATGGTGGTGTATTGTATTGTAAACAATTTAATTTGTTGATTTTTAATATATTATGCGTACGCCAATTATTTATTAAAGCTCTGTAGTAACCTGTGACTTCATAATTCTAGAGATTGATTACAACATTTTTATTTGCATGTTTTATTAAAAAATCTTACAGAAATATTGTCAAAAAACGGATTCAATGTTTGTCATAGTACTTAATTCAGACCCTGTATATTAGGGATGTATGGACTGGTGAATTTTTTTTTCGAATTAATTTCCACCCATTTACATTCTAAACAAATGTATAATTAGCATCTGCAGGTGTCTGGGTAAAATACAGATTAAAAGTTTAATTAAAAAACCTTTTGGTTTGCTCACATTTGACACGTCGTATTTGTTCTTTCAAGTAGCGCTGACGATTCTCGGTTAAGTTTTCAAATTTATCTGGAAAATTAATCTGAGAAGAGGACCAGAATTTTCCAATTATACTGTAATTATAATGTCGTAAATTTCCTCAAACAATTTTAGCCTCTGGCGGTATCTTTTTATTAATCAAGTGAATTTTCAATCTGTTGTCAACCTTAAACGATTTTCATTTTATAGCATTAATCAATTTCATCGACATTATAATAATTACTAACATTATCTTGGTATCGTCGCTGTGAAAGGAAACCACAACGTTATGGCGATATAATATTAAACCACCTACAGAATTAAAAAATATTTTATGATAATACGAGAAATCCATAATGACTTAAACTTTCGTTGTTTGGTAAGTTCATGATTAGCATGTTCCGTAAACCAGAAACGAGACTAAGTATATCTTTCCTGAAGGTTTTCGATTGCCACTGATCCCAAAATAATTCTAACTTTACTATATTTTCACGTAAATTTTCAAGAATTCTTTGTTTTCATCGCTTACGAAAACATTATTAGTAAGTGTATTGCCAGTCATAACATTTTATGTGTGGAAATCTATTGCCAGTTGCCAATCACAATCTTTTATGTTTGTTTATTCTACAAGTCACCAACACAGTAAAATATATATCGGTAACGAGACACACTTTTTTATAAGTATGTTTGATGGGGATAAAGAATTGTGATCTGGAGCATGTCAGCTATGTAAAAAGGAATAGATTCTTTCTCTTCTATAGATCTATGAGTGCGATAGACACGTCTAACAGTCTATTTATAAAGAAGTTTATGTCTTTATTGATTTGTGTTATATTGTGATATAGTTAAAATCAGATTTAATTTCTAATTCTGGAACTGGAATCATGATTAAAATCATTGAACTATTTAAATACAAAACACATTGACAGTCGTATCCCAAAATAATAGGCAGTGATTTCATCTTCAATACTGCTCACCATTTTTAGCAGTCAACACAAATGTAATTTCTTCGTATAAAATTGTGTGTGCTGCAAACTCCCACAGCAGTCGATACTGCACAGTTTTAGGAATTCTTCTGCTGCAGCAAATTATAGACATTCATTGGTGTTTGTTGTGTCAATTGGGTTGCGTTTATTCGGTTCCGGGTAATTCTGTCGGCACAGGCAAATAGGCGTATGCGCGGGAGAATATCTTTCCGTTAATTTAATTGTGATTGTAATTAATTTATTAGAGATTTTGAGTTTGTATTCTTAAAATGGAGAGTAATTCAAGCTCTACAGCGTGTTCTCGTAATGGTAAGCGTCTTCATCTAACAAGGTAGGAATAATCAGATGATAATAAACGTGTTTGAAGTTGAAATGTGCAGTTCATTAATAAGAGTCTCGATGAGAAGTGTATATCGTGCAATAAAGAGTGACAAAGAAGACTCGACTGCGAAACGGA